GTATATATGCAAACTAGTCCCTCCGTTTTTAAGCTATCGATCTGGAATTTTGTACCTGCTCTTTTCTCACTAAGAAGCTGCTCATTTGTCGGAGCGGCCGTTATCGGACCACTATAGCGTATGGCTGCTATACAAACTCAACAATCGGAAGCAAGTCCTTGTATGGGAAACTTTTTTATTTGACGTAATATCTTCACGAAATTTGGCATGAGTTATTTTCTAAGGTAACAATGTAATTCCCGAAGAAATTGTTTTAATCGGATAAATATAGCATATAGCTGCCATACAAACTGAACGATCGGAATCAAGTGCTTGTATGGAAACAAATTTATTTTTTTATTGCCGATTCACGAAATTAGATCTGAATCAAGTTATTGTAAGGAACCTTTGTATCTGTGAAGGGTATTATAGCTTCGGTGCAACCGAAGTTAACGTTTTTTCTTGTTTTTATTAAATTTACTGCCGGTGTGGGTGGCATAAATGTTTTACAGGTTGCCAGTTGCCAGCAAGCATATAAATTACATGCATATAGTATGAATGAAGACGTTAATAAAATCCAAATCTGTACTACAGCACGTCATCGGGAATTGATTCTTTAGATATAACGTCCATAGTGGACACAATTCGCATATTTCCTGTCTGTCCAAAAACCATATGTACAAACATACGTGAGCAAGTAAAAATTGTATTTATGAAGAAATTTTTTAAGCATAGAAATTTGTTTTTTAGCTCACGCGGGATCCACCCAATAATATGTACTAAAAATTGTGGCGTAGCACAGAGGAAATAGCAAAATTATCTCATTTAAGCAAAGTTTTTGGCTACTTGCCATTAAAAAATCATAAATTTGAAAGCACAACAAATAAGAATGAATTTAGAAAAAAGAGACTCAATTTGCACGTTTAAATTCGGAATAAAGTATTTACATACACACTAGTATATAAAGTAAAATAATTGAAATCTTATGTATAAAACTTTTAATTTTAAACGCGAGTTGAAAATTACAAGCAAACAGCAGATTCCATGTGATAACTTGCAAAACAGGATATGCAAACCCTGCCGGCAGTTTCCTGTGCAGATCACACTATTAACTAGTTAATATTCACCCATCCAAGGGCGAAAGAAAGGTGTGAACGTGGAGAGAACGTTATGTGTGAGAGAGAGTAGGCAATTGCCATAAAAGTTTTCTATTTTCAGCAAATATTATCAGATGTGAATCAGGTTCAACACGTTTCTGTAGCAGTAGCAGCAGCAAGTTGTAACAAGAAGATCGCAACCGAAAAACAAAAAAGTACACCAAGAAACAACACCAAGTAGTTGAAGGTATGTAGGAATTTCTAAGAAGCACAGATAGAAGCAATGAGGAAAAGTCAACTGTTTCACCGGGGGCAGCGTACACAAGTGGAGCTGCATGACGCACAAAATCGGCTATGACTACAGCTGGCACATATCTACAACGTCAAGTGCGTGAAAATATCTTGCAAGTTAGGCAAATTCATCGAGAATAAGAAAATTATGTATGAGGCGACAAAAATTGCCGCAATAAAAAATCAAAAAACGCTGCAAGTTGTTGGTGGAAGTTTAACCACGCGGAAGATACCTACCATGATCAACGCGAATACTAGTGCTTGTTTTGCTGTTATAGACGGCGACGGCGACGAAAACAGAAGCAAACGAAGTAGGCCATACTGGGCTTAGTAGTACACACATCAATGATGCTGCTTGTACGATCCGGCGAAGATGGATATGAGCGAATATCAGCTTCCAAGTGAATTTGTGTCGATTGCGACACCACACAAAACTATGCATGAATGTGCTCTGCGCCCAATTGACCATAATAATATATTAAACAAGCAGCCAAATGTAGACAATACTATTTTGCTACTTGCTTTACATTCATCCACTTGGATGTGGTTATTTTAATGTCGTAAAAAAGTGAAGAACGTCACAGGGGCGTTGTCGGGCTATGGAAAACGGCTTGACAATGTGTTTTGGCCAGCTACAATATATCAGCCACTTTATTTAATGCAAACGAAAATTTGCTTTTGTGCACAGAATATAAGTCGCCACTGTTGAGCACTTTGCTGCTAGCAATCGCCAACAAGTAAATTTAAAAATAAACTATGGAATCATAGAATAAATGTGTCCATAACACCCAGTCACATCACCCACTACCGCTGACATAACTTTTAAATTTTTTTCAACTTGCTGAAACGACTACTTTCCAATTGCAAATTTTATTACTACTGTCGAAAATTCAAATTAGGTTTAGCTCATTTATGTAAATAACATTTCATTTACCGAATCCAAATTAAAAAGCGATGATACTTTTTTGATGAAGCCACCACCACTACCGCTGCCATCTTGACGTTTCTTCTTACGCGTTGTCATCCCGTTTCGCCACACAAACACGAATCCTCAAGAAATTATCCTATATAAAAAGGCACTTTCTCACTATTTTCTAGCGTTTTTTTCACGCTTTTCGCCGTCACTAAATACACTGGCAGCCAATTGCTATGGATGTCACTTGCTGTTGTATTGCGTTCGTTCGACTTTATTTCAAATTCAATTCAGAATTTTTACGCGCACCAAAAATAAAAAATAAACATTTCTATGATATAAAAACACTGCGCGACGAGCTAAAGTTGCTTGCTTCCTTTTTTCTTCATCTATTTTCACACGCCGTTAATATTTGTTGTCCACTTTCTGATCTCTCTCGCTGCCGCGACGATTTCAAACAATTACTCGCTCTCACTGCTTTCCTATGCTCTCATTTACTTTCTGTCAATTTTTTTCCTCTTGGCGATTATTTCGCGTGCTTCTGCTTCAACACTACCTCTGTCAACGCACCAATTCTACTTCACTTTTGTTACGCTACAAAGCCTGTAATTTTTTCATGTTGCATACAATTATTTTCTTTTTAGAACTTGTAGTTTATTTTTAGCATTTTCCAATTTTGTTCGCGTTTTTTCCATTGGCGCACGCAATCTCACGATAACTGCAGCACTCTGGAGCAACGAGCACTTGACTAAACTAACAAACTGTCCGCAAATACAAAGACCGCAACACTTTGCTGACGACAATAAACATGTAACGCGGCAACGAGCCCAGTGACAGCACCTTCAGCCATTGCTCTGTCTGTGACCGCTCCACATTACAACTCCAACAAAAAAAAAAAGCAGTAGGAATTGCAAAATCAGTGTTATTGCTGTGTCAATTGGAAAGACAAATAGTATGTTTACTTTATTATTTTGTATATTTGCAAAGTTCGCGCGTTATTGAGTTTAGACTATTTTTGTTTTTTGGGTCGAAAACCCTCCGTTAACAAAATAATACAATACGTTCACTGCCAGCGCAACATGTTTGCGGCCGCATCAATTCGATACTCGAAACAAAACTCATTTTACAATTCTTTCACATAGCTGGCAATGCTCCACAACTATTTGACACTCACAAATCTGAATTTCTGTTCGTTGCCTCTTTCATTGTCAATCAGTTGAGTGGCTTTTAACTGCCATCAAACGCTTTATTAGTTGCTTAAACGACACTTTTTCATTACCAAAAGGACTCGCTTCACTAAAAAACCCTTTATGATAGTTGGATATAATTATTTACAATTCTTAACACGAAAACAATGATTTATACGCGCAACGAAATACCGCTACGCAAGCAACACCCGAATAGAATTGGAGAAAAGGCGAAAACCGAAAACCGAAAACAAAAGTAAAAAAGAAGCGAAGAGAGAGCGTTAAAACGATTGCCAACATTTAAAACTCATTTTCAATGAACTTGTTGCGGTGCACAGGGATGCCACAGCGCGTAAGAATACCGCAGCTAGCTGTGGTGAATATGTCGAATAACGATATTTGGTAAAAGAGCACTCATTGGAATTTTGATAACACTTGTAGGAATAGGTGTTCAATATAATTAATATTTACAATTATTTATATGAGTTGAGTTTAGTTTAAGAAATTATAATCTTAAAATGAATTTGTAAAACTGGTTTGATTTAAAAATATGTACATCTTTAAATATAACCAAAAATTATTTAAACAATACGATATTGCATAATTTTTACTGACTGTCATTTTGGCACAAATTATTTCTTTGTTTTATAGACAAATTATTATAAAAATTATAATTTTTATTTAATATATAAAAATGATTTAAGAAAAATAAAATATATTATTAAAAGTACTAGAATATATTTAACATATAAAAGAATAATGAAAAGTTTTATACAAACCTTTTTATTCAGAGAAATAAAATAAAATGCAACATGCCATACAAAAAACTTAAGCAGCGTTTTTATTTATTACGAATTGGCAAATAAAGTGTTAAGCAATTACAAAAATTATATAAAAACATACAAGCTAAATAAACATATTTATGAGCTAATTAAAACTAATTAATAATAAATAAACACAAGCGACAAAATGCAAAATTACAACAAAAGTAATAATCAATTTTATTATTGGCATATTAGGGGAGTTTCTTAGCGAGCAATAATTAGTGCAATTAAAGAAAATCGTACCAAAATAAATCAAAATTAATTTTTTTACACTAAAAATATGTAATATCCTTACAACACGTTAATGGCATGACAATCGAAAGAAAACGAGCATGATAATTTATTGTTAAGTTTTTGTGACACAAAAACATTAACGAATTCAAGCGAGCGGAAACGAAAACTTGTTAAAAGGGCGCAGCGAAATAAACGAAATAAAGGAAAGGGACACGGCCGCACCTTATATCCTTTGCTTTGCGCCATTAATATACATTTAATAAATTTGGTGCCTATTAAGGGAAGTTATGTCACAGGAATAGAATTAATAAGTGAATAATTACATAAAAAAATTTAATAAAATTATTTCAAATATTATATAATTACTAAATTTGAGTTTAATTAGCACACCTAGTGTGAAACTTTGAAAAAATTAATTCTTTGTTTGGATATTTCGACAGTTCATACCTTTAAAAATACTTCAAATATTTTTTGAGTCTTCTAAAGTGTAGCCGCTGAGTTCAAACAGTTCAATCAGTTTATTCTTAAAACAAAAATTTTCGAATTTGCTTGAATAATTACAATCAAATTTTTTTTTTGCATGTTCTGTTATAGTTCACCATACCAGTTTTTTGATCAGATCAAAAAGCAAATTCTTGCAGGCCGAAAACGAACACCATATTTGGTAAGTACAATTTTTTTAAACGTCGCCATTTTGTCAATATTAAATTTTTTTCGACCGTAGGTCTTTGTACGGACAATATATTTTAGTCAAAAAAATATTTTATAAGTTATATCCACATAGAAGTCGGAATCACTGCAGAAGTGGAGAAGCTTTTTCGTCAGTGCCGTCGGAGATCGTGTGTAACTCGAAAAATATTAAACCGCAATTTTTTTTAGTACCCAAAAATCGTATTTTTTTAAAGACGTCACACTAGGTGTGCCCCTTAATTCAATTGGATCCTCGATTAATTATATATGTATGTTAGTACATTTTAGACTGACCATTAGGCGTATCAACTTTAATAAAACATGAATTAATTACCCATTTGCAGGCAATTAAAATGATAAATTGGCGTTATGCAAACGTCTGAATTCGAAACAACGTTATTGCTATTGTTACTATTGCATTGGCTATTGTGTTTGTTATTATTGTAGACATTGGCACTTACAGCTTCGCTGCTTACAATCTCTACATTAGTATTAGGCTGCTGCTGCTGTTGCTGCCGGTTATTATAGGGCGCCGATTCAGGCGAACGAGCCGTCGCCTTTACGGTACTGCTGCCGCCGCCCTCATTTGCACCAGTACCACTAGCGCTAACTCCCGCACTATCTTTGGGAATGTCGGCGTCGCCATCGACTTTCATGCGCTGATTCTGGAAAGTAGAAATAAAAAGAAAAAAGTTGATAAGTTCTTACTTTTTGTCATCATTTCACGTAATAAGTACTTAGCACACAAAGTAACAGTTCGCAATAATAGCATTAAAATTAATGTGAATTCAATGTGAGGCAACAAATTATTTTAAATGAGCATATTAGCAAATTGGAAATATACACAGTTGTGCTGTATTTTTGGAGCGCACTTTTACGCTGCGATTGGTGCATGTGACACTGCCGACACTTACATTCGCGCAACAGCAAGCGTACTGAGCACCGCCGCCGCCGCCGCCACTACCACTATTGCCGCTATTCTTTTTGCCGCTATGCGCTTCAGCGCTACCAGTGGGCGTTTTTGCTGCGCCCACCGGCGTCGTTGCACTGCTGCTGCTGTGCTTCGTGGGCGCTTGTGCTGTTGGCGCTGCTGCTAACGGTGGCGCAACTAATTGCCTACGCCGTCGACGTATACGAACTGGCGAGCGCGCACCGACATAGTTGGAGAATCGTCGACGCGAGTGTCGAACGATTGACACCCAGTCAATCATGTTTTGCTTTTAAATTGTTTATTTAACTTTTTTTTTTAAATTTTAATCACTAGATTTATGTGTATGTATGTTAGGCGCGCAGAATTTTCTTTTGAGCGTTAAATTGTAGGTACTTTTGTCTAGTTACACATTGTCAATTTTGTTGTATATTGCATTGACGCAGACGTTTTAAAAGCACTCTGCATAACTCATTTAATTTTTCAGCCATTTTATGTACGTTTAGCAATCTCGAATTTTGCACATTCACTTAATTAAGATCACAAGTATACTAGAAGTAGCTACATGAATTTACGTTAATATATCATATCGTATTTTTGTATATATAGATACATATACATAGTATATTTGTTTCGAGTAAGTATATCCTGAACATGGTTTGTTACGAACTTTGTAACACCCAGTAGGAAACAAGATATCTTAATTTGGCACAGATTATTACCTAAAGCAAAACTACAATACAATTTGCGAAGAATTTGTTCAGATCGAGTCGCTTTAGCTGTCATTCAAACTGACCGATCAAAGTAAAGTTTTTCTATGGAAACTTGTTTTTTTTTAAAGGTATTCTACCTACGCTGCAACCACAGTTAACGTTTTTTTTTTGTATTTTCATAATTATGGAGTAAACATAAAAAAGTAGGATATCCGCCTCAAGCTATTACGTATCAGCGCAAACACAGTTTAGATGTTATTAAGCTAACGCGCGAAAGTAATTACACCCGGAGAAAACCATTAAAGGTGCCCATATATGCGCATTGATGTTGTTTTAAAATAATAATAAAAATAGCAATTACTTTGTTTTTGTTTTAACTTTTTTTACTTTACAGTTCTGACGCATTTCCATCCCTTTGCAAGAAAACTTATGAAGAATAATGTGTGCAAGTAATTCATTGTTTTCCGCTAAATATGTAAGTATTTGTGCTAAACATTTATAAGAAACTGTCATAAAAAGACAATTATGTGAGAAGAATACTCAAAAAAAGCGCAATGTAAGGACCATACAACTTTAGAAATATGTAAAGAAGGATGACGAATGCTGTCAAACCAGAAAATACGCCAAAGCCATGCAAACAAATAACATAAAACTAACGCATGCTGGCAATATCACAATACCCGTTGACAATTTCAACACAAAATGAATTCATTCGAGCATCAAAACAAAAAAGAAAACACTCAAGCACATATGCGCGCACATATTAGGCCAAAAAACGTTTAAAATCTGTGCCAGTACAAGATTTAACACTTTTTGTTTCGCAACGTTTAGCAACCATCCAATGCATAACAAGCCTGTGGTGCACACAAAGCTCATAACACTAGCTCTAGTCGTGGGCGCAGTGGCAGGCAGCTTAAGAGCTGTGGCCATTTAAGGATACGCCGAGATTTTTTGGCGCGCCGGCAGCTTGTGCGGTATGTGCAGCAGTTGACACCCCCGCTTGGGGGTCACAAAAATGCTTGTATAAACCTTCGCTACCAAAAGATTGCATGAATAATGTTAAGGTGGCGTTAAATTGTGTGTAAACGCTCCACTATACAATAGGATTTATGCTCGAATATAATACCATTTGTAGTTTATATTTTTTTTGTTGCCAGCTAAAGTGCTTCGTTTTGTTATTGCATAGGAAAAGCCGCGGAAAAGGATAATAACGCATTAGCAGAGACTGTTGGCTTGCTTGCTTTGCTCTAACAAACATGAATGACTGCTGTACTATGTATAGTATATGTATGTACGTTGGCATGTATATAAATATGAATTTATGTCCCTTTGACGAATCGGTTACGAGTACACTGAAGCAGCAACTTATTGTAAACGCGTTTTGCAACATTTGTTGAACAGCTACGCAACTGTTAGAAAAATTGTAGTTTATTTTAAGCTGGTGAAGCTGAATTTTGAGTAATATAATAAATCAACCTAAGTTTGTTTACATTTTCTCGTCACTTTTTGGTAGAAAAATTACTGAAAGAAAAATGGAACATTTTATTTGTTCTTTAATTCTGTCTAAATTTGGACAATATGCTTTGCGAAATTTCGTGAAGATATATTTTCAAATAAAAACGTTTTCTATACTTGATCTGGATTTTGATCGGTCAGTTTGTGTGACAGCTATATGCTATAGTGGAACGATATCGGCGATTACCACAAATGTGAAGCTTCTTGGGAAGGAAAGAACGTGTGTAAATTTTTAGACCAATATCTCAAAAACTCAGGAACTAGTTCTCGTATATAGACAGACAGGCGGATATGTCCAATTCGACTCAGCTCGATTCACGCTGATCATTTACATATACATATATTTTAAAGAGTCTCTTATGTCCTCCTGTGTGTTACAAACTTCGAGGCAAACTGAATATTCAGGGTATAATATTTTAATAGTGCAATAACGCTATGAATAAAAGTGAGTCAGCTTTTAGCTCAGATAATTATATGCATTTCACAAATAATATCCAGTAAACCTCATACTGGAGCAACTGCAGTTCTAATTGAAGAAATCTTAATTTAAAAGTTTCCTTGTCAACTTTTAATATTAAACCTAATTTTAAACAAATTTTAAATTTAAACTTTAGGGTCATAAAAAATATTAACTTCTGCTACCTGATTTATAATATAGTAATCTGTTGTCGATAAAAATGTGCTGCATAAACTTCGCGGTTCTAATAATTTGTCCAACACTGTATATAGTTAAACAAGCACACGTAAGCACTTTCTATTAAAACCGCAATTTGCATTTAAAATTCATCATCCATAGTTTGCTTGAGTTGCTGTCGTCGACAATGCTCTGATGACATAGCTATACATAGAAAGGTTTTGATTGTAACTTCTGCTTATTGCGTTGCTTGGACAATTCATGTAATTTTGCTATATCTATTTCTTTGCTATCTGTTTTTCTTTCTTTTAACTATAATATTCTCGTATTTGCCTGTATTTGCAATTTCCTAAGGGTTAGAAGATGCGGTTATAATGAATAGTGAAATAGACTGTTTTTGGTATCGTCATCTTTTTCTCTAAGGTTGAACGATTTAAATGAGATCACTAAATAATTAGGCAGGTCGCAAATGTTCGTATTTATTGTTTTTTTTAGTCGTATATTATATAATAAGATTATATGGTATACAAGTATTAAAATATCCAATAATTTACTTTTCCAACAAGTTAAAAATTTTTGCCTTGTGTTATCTGAGCAGTAGTATTTGGGTTGAAAAGGCTTTGGCCTAATCGAGAGATTGCACCACGAACTAAAAATCATTCTCATATTATTAATCTTTAAAGAGCCGGTGGTTATTAAAATTCGCCGTAACCGCCCCAACTCATTTAATGCTCCCAGTTCAAGAGAACCAAAAGAGGCAATAACGTTGGAAAATATTGCGGAAATTCGTGAAATTTCGTTCAGTGGGGAAAAATTAAATTGATTGAGTTAGTCAACATCATTCAAGTCATCATCAAAGGAATGCGTAGGCCATACCATTTATAAAAATGATAACGCTATGAACTATTCCCCCACCCATCGCATTCGCCGGAAACGGTGCCAAAAATCATCTTTTCCAGCCAAAAATCTTGCCTTTTCGGTTAAGATGAAAACAATATTATTGAATATTTGAAATGTTGTTGATTTTCATCCATTTTGATTTTTCGAGCGTAAAGCAGATAAATACTCCACTATTATCAATTATTTTAAGGTTCATACAGCTGTTCACATGATCTTTATTAGCCGGTTCAGATCCAATTTATGGAATAATGGTATGGTGGAATAATGTCATATGTATATCTTTTGTGATTTCAAAATTTTTATAATTTAATTGGGCATAAAAATAAGACAATTTTTAAGAACTGGGCTATGAAGATGAATGTGGAGTAAATTGTGTAAATGTGACAGTGTTCTTGAATGTGACTTACAAAAATTACTTTGGGAAGCTGTCGAAATGAATGAAAAGCATTAAGTTCCGCAAAAAAAGCAAGAAAACCAGTAGTTGCATATATGAAGTCGAAACGATATTTAATGAGTACATGAACAATGTACATGACAACATGTAGTGACATTGACCGAAAAAAACGCGCCCAGGAGGTATATCTTTAGCATATTTGTATATGTACATGGATGTGTATGTTGTTGTTGTTGTTGTAGCAGAAAAATTTTGCGAGTTGACAGTCCTTGGCGGGATAAAAATTTGGGTACGTTCCGGTTACATAGGCCCGACTGTCGTGGGAACGGCATAATATGCCGCCTACGTCTATGATAAATATGGTAAATTAGATTGGCCACAAGTAAACTATTCTTACGCACACTGGGACAGACATCGAGAAACGACATGAAATATCGAGTTTCATAAAACCTTTGAAGATGTAGAATAGTTGTGTAATTTTTTAATTATTGTATAAAATATCAATATCAAATTTCATATTTTATATTGGGGATCAAGGTGGGGAAATTAAAGATACGACCGATTCCTTGAAAACCTACTAT